CCTAGGTGGCTGAGGCAGAATGTTGAGGTAGTGCAGGTAAAATTCTACGAGACTATGAGTGATGATGACCCCATTTGTAGCAAAACAGGCAACGTGAGTGTGAGAGTGATCTCTTTGCAGCACAACACTCCATGTGACGGTGAAGGAAGAGCTAAACAGTGCTGAATTATTGTTAAGTGAAGTGTTAAAGTAGAATGGTTCGATACTGAAATTATAAATTTTTAAAATTCGAACAGTTTAAAATTGGTAACGAATTAAGAATTTCTACACTACTGTTTGTTTCTTAAAGTATAGTGAAATCTTCCTATCTTTGAGAAAAGAATCATTGAATCCATCTGAGGAACGATAATTTTTTCTTATATATTATATCAATCAAAGAAAAGTATGTCATTTACTGGCTCATATAGTTTCAACAACAAGAATTTCACAATGTTTTAGATATTATCTAGGGAGCTCACACGATCATTTTCTCAATCACGTCATACTGACTCGGAGAAAACAGATCATTAGGAACCATAGACAGGGAAATTTGGTATTGTACATTTATGGATTCAGATCGACTTTGCCATCCAAATTATGGATCCAAATGCTTTAAAGTTTATTAATCTTCCTTTTTTTTTTTTTTTTTTATTTACTATGGAAAAATTTGATATTTAGAATGTGAATAATGGACTGAGTTTTTGATAGATTTCTTTTGTTCTTCTAAAGGATATTCTAAACAAGAAAATGAAGTGTTACATTAAGTTGTGCAGGTATTATACATAAAATCGAGCAGTCTGGAGCGGGGACACCAGCACTGAGCTCTGTCTTATGATTCAATATGTTAATTCCCAAAGAACAATTGAAAGAAGGAGTTCTTTTACAAAACATTCGTATATGAAAATTTGATAGACTTTTTGCGATGCAGTTAGTTCATTAATGATAGTTCTGAAAATAAATTTCAATAAGAAATTCTAGATGATAGATAGACTAGTTTCAGTCGCAGGTCAAACAAGTCGTAGCAACGAGCGTTACTTATCTGTTATTTGATTAACAAAATGTGACTATGATCGATTAACAGAATTTGCTATATCAAATAGATCAACAATTAAAATAACTAAAGCACGTTTTCGTTTGATTTCTGTTAGAATATCTTTATAAACTTGTTCATTTACTTCATAATGTGAAATATCATTGATATATTTAAAAAGAAAACATCATTGACATTGACTTGTTCGTTTTTGTAAATTTGGTGATAAATGATGTTTAGGAATTCTCACTTGTATAAAACCTTTTCAAGAGATAATGTTGGAGAAAATAATTCTATTGATAAAAAAAAAACAAAAAACAATATCTTACAGTTCAGTTCTATCAACACATTGAAGTGATGCATCACAATCAAAATAACGAGCACTTTCATGAATTGGTATTGATTTATCTTCTGTTCCTAGATCAATCTGAAATTGATTTTCAGCTGATGGAAATGCAACAATAGATGGATGAGCTAAATCATTTTCATCTCCATTTGTTGATAATATCTCATAACATTCTTTAGTATTTGTGAAAAGAGATGTTCAGCTCGGCCTGTTATTCTTGAATATTGTCGAATGAGATATTTTTTTCTTTTCAGACAATTGTCCATCAAAACGAACAGCACATAATGGATCGTTGAAGAGAATTTGACGAATGACAGGTAAAAGATTATCTAATGAAACAGGTTTTGGTTTCAATAATAATGTTTATCATCAATTGATGATAACAACGAGATCGAAAACGATGAGCATTTATTTGAAGGAATATTGAACGTTGAAAAAATGATATTCTTTGACAAAAAAAAGGCTAATTTCTAATTGTGGACATTTTTCTTAATTAGTCAATTAAAAATGTCCGCATTCCGGAATAAGGTGATTGAATGAAAAAATGCTCCTCATTTGAAAATTGTCCGCATTTCATAACAAGTAAATAAATTTAATTAATAGCCCTTAGTTAGAATCACAAGAAAAGTATAGTAAACATACAGATATGTGTTATCGGCTCGTTCTCGATTCGTTTCTTTATCGATGCAATGCATTCATATACTTCAATGGAAGATTTTGCCGCATGCTCGACGTCATGAGATCCATCGGGTTTGATACCAAAACTTTTCACGATCAAAGAGCCGAGCTGTCAGCGACGCATTGCACTGTTTATGTGTACAGATCCAATATTGAGTTCCGTTTTTGTTCGAACGTTTGAGACCAAATAGATATTTCTCATACAAAATTCCTTCATCACCTGATTGTGTATTCAATCGGCTAAAGTTTTTATTGCTCGTCGACATTGTTTTATTCGAATGTATCTCATCTCACCATCATCACGTATAGGCTATATATAGGGTGATGGACACTGAAAAATTAAATCTGTGAAAATTCCTACAGATGATGATTGGGAACATCCCAATCACAACTAAAGATCAGAAGAACATCATATGGAAAATTCTAATGATGTCATATGACAGAAAAGGAAAGAACTAGATATACGTGACGTTATCGAGAGAACAATATTGAGGAAAAAAATGGAAAGTGAAATCAAAAGATATCATTATAGAAGAAAGTCTTTTTATTCGAAATTATTTCACTCAATTAAATATATCGAAAAAAAAATGAGCCAATAGTTATTTTTCTTAAATTTCTAATTTAATTCTTTTTTCTCTTTTGTTTTGTATATCAAAAATAAAAATATACGGTCATCCTATCGTCAACAAAACAATAAAAAAAGAAAGAATAACGGCTTATTGTCTCATATTAGACGGACGATCGTTCAATATAGTACGTGATCTGATGAAGCAAAGTGCGATAAAAAGTGCCAATCAAAGTCAAATGCAGACACGATGGCGCCATCTAAAATGAGAGCGGGCGCAAGAGAAAAAAATATTATGATGATAAACTATGATCTAGTATCTGTTATATGTGGTATTTTTTCTCAATTAAAAATGAGTCTCATCGGAAGATAGCGCCAACATAGAGGTTTTATCATGGCAATACACCCAGTACGATGTCTATTAGTGAATTTGTTCGATATTGGTGTTGATGTGATTGGTTAAGATGAACAAACGATTGGCTATTCATCGCCATTCTTTGAATACAAATCGCATTACATACGCATATATAGTTATCGCATATATCGCTTTTTTATTTTGGTTTGCAAAAAACAAAAATCCGAGATTAGAATTTTCAATCATTTAATATACTTAACACTTGCTGAAACTATGAACTGCTGGAACTCAGTCACATCTCCAAGTGCATTCATGGATATCCACGAGGTCAATGATTCGATGAATCATCTCAGTTTGATCATATACCAATATTTTGCTGAGTTGATCGGATGAGAATTATTTTTCGTCGAGTATGTTCAGTTCGTAGAAAAGAGAAATGAGTATTTTTTTTCTCTCTCTCCACTGTATATTGATCAATAGTTACATCTGCATTGTAATATAAGATGAAACAACAAGTACTGCGTTAATCTGTATGTATTTATTTGTATTTTTTTTGACGTTTCATTTTATTTCACAATATAAAAAATATATTCTCAAGAAAAAGAATAATATGTCTTTTTTGTGTATCTTCATATTATTTAAATAAACTAATCCGATACATGTGCAGAATAAGCACACTCTCGCACTCACCCTCACTGTGCTTGATCTTGATGTGCACAATAGGCTAATTGGACGTGACGGTGTGTTTATTCTGCCCATGAACCATATTTTCATTTATATATATTTGATAATAAGACAATCATAATCGAATTAAATTGACTAATAAAATTAACTTTGAATATATAGAATGAAAATTTTCTTTATTTCAAAATAAATACCAATGTATTCCATTATCGCGATGCAGGAGTATTATTCAATGAAAGAATATTTCTATTACTTTTTCTTTTGTTCTTTCGAACAAAAAACAGAAACAATTTTCATTAAATATTTTGATAAAAAAGCTCTTAGCGTAATCCCTGTGATTAAAATGTTCAACACGAAATAACTAGTGTTACTAACAGAAACGTGTGTTTAACAACTTGATTTAGGTCAATATTATATATAGCCAATACTCTCACTAATTCTTCAGTCAAAATTAAATAAATAGTGTCCTAGATCTGTTTAGTTTGTCTAGAAACTCACTTTAGAGGCTATGTCTGCCATGGTCTGTAAAGGGGGCGGGGGGGGGGGTTGCTAAGGTGTCTGCCACGTCTGTGGAGAGGGAGGCCGGGGTGTGGGTCCAAATGTCTACCCCTATACTTCAACATTTCCTTTTAGTTCGTGTTTCACAAAATATTTCGAACAGAAAAAAAGAAACAATTTTCATTAAAGATTTTGATAAAAAATATTCAATCATTTGTTAAAAATTCATAGAATTAATATGGAACAGAAATAGAAATCAATTTTATAATACAGGGTGGCGCAAAAGTCACTTTACCGAACAAAAAAAAAATTGAACATCTCCACTAACGATCAAAGCAAATGACCTGATTTTTTTTTACGAAAAATAGAGGCATGTTCATACTTTAGATCGACATCGGAAAGATTACGAAGATCCGTTGTTAAGTACCATTGCTGACCTTAACAAAAAATATTGCTTTGTCACAGATAACGAGAAAACAACATACAGATTGGTAGTGCAACAGTCAGTCACTTTAGCGAGAAAGAAATTCAATATCTCTATTATGACTCAAGCAAACCAGCTGATTTTTTTAATAATGATAGAGGCATGCTCTGGCTTTATATTTATAAAGACATGCCTAGAGACATCTTTCGTTAAGTGCATTGTTCTTTTTTCCTATCTGTGACAAAGCAATATTTTTTTGTTAAGGTCAGCAATGGTATTCAACAAAGGATCTTCCTAATCTTTCTGCTGTCGATTTGAAGTATGAACATGCCTCTATTTTTTATAAAAAAATCAGATCGTTTGCTTCGATTTGTAGTGGAGATATTCAATTTTTTTTGTTCGGTAAAGTGATTTTTGCGCCACTCTGTATATTGTAAGTACTTCAATTTTCTATCTTAGAAATATTTTTATCAATTCATAAATATTCAAGAAGTAAATATCTATATGAGAAGAGGGAAATTGATGGTTTATCACGAGAGTAAGTGCAGGTTAAGTGCCCCTGACACCTTCAGCATCTACAGCACCTGTTCGGTACTGAGAGTAGCCGAAGGATGCTGAAGGTGTCGGGGTCACCCGACCTGCACTTTCCCCTTTGTGACTTATATTGTCTGACATTGTACAGACAATTTTTTTATTTAAAAGCATAATAAAGGGTGCGGCGGAATAAATTGTCGACTTTTGATAGACTGTGTTCTCAAGTTAGATTGAATGAGAAAGTTCCATTCTGATGTGAAAAGATAGAGAATTTTGTGTGGATTTTATTGATATGTTGTTTGCGAAATGAGCATTTATTCTTCTCTTGTAATATAAAAGGTACTGGCTACTACAAAAATAACATTTACTCAACTGCAAAATGAGACATTTTTCCCAGTGAATTATAGTTCAAAAGTTTCTTCTTGTTACTAAGCGATGCAGAAATTTTTCGATGCATCTAGTAGTGTCTTGATTTTTTTAAGCTTAATTGTTTCTGCTTCAAAAAACACAAAACATGAAGAAAATAGCCTCAGACAATGACATCGTATTTTTTGTTGCCAATTTTCTCAAAATTTGGTTTTATAAAAACTACTCTTTTTATATGAATAGATGCAGAATTTCAAGCTCTACAAAATGTTCTTCATTATAAGCAGTGGCATAGCCAGCAGGGGGCCAGGGGGGGGCTCAGCCCACCCTAGGGAACTTTGAGTCCCTCCTGGCGAAATTTTAGAAAGACATATTCTTTTTATACCAAAGTAGATTAGTGTTTGCAATTTTACGTTTTAACATATATATATTTAATTTTGTGCAACTCATGTCTTGGAATAAAAGAAAATACAGTAAATGTAAATGCAAATCTTAATGAAGTTTACTAGGTTATGAGTAGTTTATTTCAGCTTTGCAGGAGACTGCAATGATTGGTTTTTATCAGAGTACAGCGATATCTGTTGTTGTTAAATTAGAATGAAAGTTCATTGCGTCTTAGGTAGGTTGTATTGATCATTTTTGAAAAAATTTAGCTTTTTCTTAATTTATTAAATATTTTATATACAGTGCGCGCCAATTCATTTTTCCCCTTTTGTATTTCTGTATTTTTATCGCTTTAATTCATTTATTTTTCAACTTCTTATATGTAGGAAGAAAGAGCGGAACGCTCTGCATCTTACGATACATTCACATAAAACAATAGACAAATGCTTAGATATAAAAACTGTTAAAGAATATATAGAAGCAGATTTTTCTTGTCACTAAATAAAAGAGTAGTGAATTTTTTGGAATGACTTTTAATATATGAAAGATAGAGACTTGTGATTTTCACTATTCCAAAGAGCTAATGAATCTGCATCGACTCTTATATTTCAGATATTTCCAGCAAGCTTTACTACGGTCTTCAACGATACCTTTAGAAAATTAACGTTTTCAGGATGAATAAAATTAATTTTTCTTGAAAAGCTAGAAAATATGTCGATTTTGCCTAGAGACACGGTTGAAGACCGTAGCAAAGCTTGCTGGAAATATCTGAAATATAAGAGTCGATGCAGATTCATTAGCTCTTTGGAATAGTGAAAATCACAAGTCTCTATCTTTCATATATTAAAAGTCATTCCAAAAAATTCACTACTCTTTTATTTAGTGACAAGAAAAATCTGCTTCTATATATTCTTTAACAGTTTTTATATCTAAGCATTTGTCTATTGTTTTATGTGAATGTATCGTAAGATGCAGAGCGTTCCGCTCTTTCTTCCTACATATAAGAAGTTGAAAAATAAATGAATTAAAGCGACAAAAATACAGAAATACAAACGGAGGAAAATGAATTGGCGCGCACTGTATATAAAACTGCACATTTTTTGCCATTTTTTTATTTCTTAGCACAGCTTATATGCTGAGGAAAGAGTCAGAATAAGCAACAATCAACTCTATATTGGGTTAATAGATAAGTTTCATATACCTAAGATGGGTCGAAAATTTTTGAGGGGCTGAGCCCCCCTCCTAGCCCAAAATCCTGGCTATGCCACTGATTATAAGAGGTGATTTTCTTTTCTAAATTTATGATAAGGTTGACATCTTTTGCCTGGCATAAAAAAAGCACCAAAAATGGTCAATTAGGCATTTTTTGCAAGCGGTTTTTCGGATGACGAAATTTCATTCGCAGATTTGGTATCGGATCTCAAAAACAGATACGCCTCTGTACTTTACAATACTGCATTTAAATAGTATATGAAAACTAACCTTTATTCTCCTGAAAATGCTGAGTGAATGATGTTTTTGTAGTATCCAATACCTTTTATATTACAGGAGAAGAATAAATGCTTATTTCGCAAACAACATATCAATGAAATCTACACAAAATTCTCTATCTTTTTTACATCAGAATGAAACTTTCTCATTCAATCTAACTTGAGAAAAAAACAGCCTATCGAAAGCCGGCAATTTATTCTGTCGCATCTGTTATTTTAAAAGTATTTTAACATTTAGTGAAGTAAATCTAAAGATATGTATTTTGATTTCTATCTTTAGTAATACTATTCATTTATTTATTGTCATATATTGTTAAGATGAAAATGTATAGTTCTTTAGAGATTATATCATATTACTTCAAGTAATACATAATATCTAGATCGTAAAATGTATTAGGACAAGAGTGGTATACTTTTTGCTGCAGTATACATCGAAAACTTATGATAATTTAAAGATTAATATGAAAAAGAAAATAATATATTCATGTATAAAAAGATCTTATTTCATTGAAGTATTATTATTTGTAAAACTTTTTTCTTTCAAAATAATTTTCTGGTTTAAATAAAAATTTTTTGAACTTTAGTAAGACTACTAGAACCTAGAAAAAGTATATGGAATTTTTCTTAATTTTCATCTTATATTGTCAATCATACTACTGACAATCAACAATAATCTAATGTAGATAAAAAAAGAATTCTAATATATTTATCTTTTTTTAGATAAAATGATAACTACAATCGAAACACTACCTAATGAAATTCTTCTTCATATTTTTTCTTATTTACCATGGTTTGACATGTTAACTTCTTTATGGTCATTAAATATTCGTTTTAATTCTCTTATATGTTCAACTCTTTCGATAGATAATAATTCGTTAAACAGTGGTCTTGTTATTACACATGGTTTATCTTATAATAAATGTCGTTCGATATTATTTTCGTTGATCTCGAATTGTTCGTCTCTTGCTTCTTCTATTCAACGTATTTATTTTGATGGAAGAAGTTCAATAGCTTGTGATCTTAGTTACGAATGGTTATTTACTAATAAAAATATTCTTCGTTTTCCTAATCTTAAATCACTTATTCTTATTCGATGTGAATCAATTGAACCAACAATTCAAAGTTTATCTTATCTTATTGAACATCAATTAGATAATCTTACATTAACATTTGACGATCAAGTGTTCAAACGAATTCACCATTTAACAAGAGCTTCTTTGCCAACTTCTCATATAGGTAATTAATTGTTTATTTGATAGAATCTATTAAAAACAATTCAAGATTCATCTGCCTGACAAGTACAATTCAATATTTTCTTGATGTGAAATTAAAAAAAAAAACTTTAGATACGAGAAAAGTACGATGGAAAATTAGGGTGGTGGGTGTGGGTGTGGGTGTTGGAGAAAGGTACACTTAAGTAATATCCACACTCACACCCACACCCACACTGACTACACCCACACTGACTACACCCACACACCCACACCCAACCCCACACCCACACTCACCACACTCCCACACCCACACCCCACACCCTTTTCATTTTGAGTGTGACAGAAATTATTGACACAAGTCAATAGGGATTTGTTATGACAATTTTTGTTGAGCGTTTCATGGCGCATCTTTTCAAAAACATTTCAAGATTTTATCGTCTATCTAAACTGAGATATACAGGGTGCGTAAAAATGTTTTTCCAGGAAGATAACGCTATAGTTTCGCATAGCTTACACCAATAATTTTATACCAAATTAAAGCCCGTCAAAAACGGGATTTTTTGATAGTGAATAGTAAGGGTTGTCAAAACCCTTTAATGTCGAACTTACGAAATTTCCACAAATTCTATGCATTTTTGAGCATGGAAAAACTAAAGTATCAGTAATTCATAAATGGATTAAGATATTTTCTTTTGATATTTTTACATGGTTCGATAGAGCTCGTCAAGCTCTACAAAACTATACATATTAAAAAAATTTTTTCAGACATTTTTCTGAGATAAAAAATTTAAAAATCTACATGGAAAAATCCTAAAAAATACCAAAAACTTTACTCCTTCTTTTATCGAAAATAGACACTCTGTTTTTCGATAAAATCAGCTTTTTTCGTTATTTATACTAGCGTAGGCGCTTCGAAATATACTCAATAACTGTAACGTGAAAGACTGCGTCTAATGGGTGTATTTTGAAGCGTTATTGTTAGTAAAAATAATTGAAAAGGAAATTTTTTTCAAAAACTGTGTATTTTTTTGCATATAAAAAAAAAATAAATTTTTTAGTACTATTTAGGATTTTCCACGTGGATTTTTAAATTTTTTATCTCAGAAAAATGTCTGAAAAAATTTTTTTAATATATATAGTTTTGTAGAGCTTGACGAGCTCTATCGAACCATGTAAAAATATCAAAAGAAAATATCTTAATCCATTTATGAATTACTGATACTTTAGTTTTTCCATGCTCAAAAATGCATAGAATTTGTGGAAATTTCGTAAGTTCGACATTAAAGGGTTTTGACAACCCTTACTATTCACTATCAAAAAATCCCGTTTTTGACGGGCTTTAATTTGGTATAAAATTATTGGTGTAAGCTATCCGAAACTATAGCGTTATCTTCCTGGAAAAACATTTTTACGCACCCTGTAGACATTTTGGCACACCCTCAACAGAGAAAAATTGAAAAGATAGAGTATGATGGCGTTATTACTGATTTTCATTCATAGTACAAGCTATAGATCTGAAACTTTTAGTTATGTAATACTAACTATGTATAATAATCTGGCAAAGTTTGAAGAAGTTTGTTTTTGTTGGACGTGAGAACGGTGAATTCGAAAATCGTTCGAGAACTGCTGGGACATCCCTTATACTTAATATTTGATGATCTGATAAATAGAAAAATGATATTTCATAAACATAAGTTTTACATAGTTAAATTTCCAACTAAACGAACTAGTTTTTATTAAAAAAAAAAGACTCTTTTAGAGATTCTTAACAGTTAAATGTAATTCATAAAGAAAGAACATTCGAATCTTTGAATGTGATGGTTTTGTTTTAATAAAAATTTTTTTTTTCTTTTTGAATAAATAATAGAAAATGAAATGATTATGATCAAACAATTTCTTTGTAAATTATTCTCTGATCAATGTCAATTAATATCTTTTCGACTTGATATTAGTAATGAATCTCGAGATGGCAGTATTCATCGATGTTTATCATCAAGTTTTTATATCTTTTCCAATTTAATTTCATATCAACATCAATCTTATTGTGTAACCCTTCGTTATTTATATATCCGAATTAATCAAATACGTTTTCTTGAAGATCTTATTGAACATGTACCTAATCTTGAAAAATTATCAGTTGAGTTAGATTGTTCATTAGGTTCGTTTGCATCATGGAGGAAATCAAATGTTGAAATATTAAAACAATCAAAGACAAATTGGTTTAATAAAGTAAGAAAAAGAATAATTAACTTTTTTTATTTAAATTCTTTTTCTTTTAATAAATAAAAATAATTAAATTTTTTTGTAGATACAAAAATTAAAATATTTTAGTTTAAAAACTTTCATTTATGAGGATTATGAATTTATTTATTTAAAATGGCTTCTCAATAATTTAAATTATATTGAAAAACTTCAACTTCATATTAAACATGATATATTAAACGAAAGAATATGTCATAATATAATGAAATCTTTGATTGATGCAAATTTTATTCGTCAATATTGTTTACCTGATTTAATACCGAATTTAATTTATTTTAATTTTTATATTTATTGGAAATGTCAATTATCATTTAATGATATTGAAATAATAAAAAATTCATTTAAAATTCATCCATTTTTTATTTCATATCAATGGACAGATGTAACATGTTTATTTGATCCAATAATTGAATGTCAACATTTATTCTCTTCTTTTAATAATACAGTTCAATCTTATAATAGTTTTATGTAAATTATTTATTATTATGAAATCTAAGAGAACTTCTTAGCTAAATGATAGTTGTTTTTTTCTTCTAGTAATTATTCATATATTTTCAATTGGCCACCTCTTTACAACATTTGGTATAATTTATATCCATCACTTTATTTATTTCTTGAGCGATTTAATGATTATTATCGTCATGTTTCGTGTATCAAAGTATATAAAAGTAATTCAATTTATTATTTAAATGATTCTCTTGATTAGATAAGAAGAGATATTGTCTTAGAAATATTCATTGATCTTATTTTCAACTAAATCTAGAAGAAAAATATTAAAATAAATAAAATTTCTTTGTTATAGATTCCATACAAGATTTTAATAAAACTGATCTTCTAATGTCATTGGAAATTTTATCCAATATGAAAGAAAACAATCGAATTGATGGTCTTTTTCGAAATGTTACAAAAATTCAATTTGGAACATATTTTGATCGAAGAAACCGTTAGTACTAATTTGGATTTTTATGTTAAGATTTAAAATAAATAAGGTTGATTTTATATGTATAGCTAAAAGAAAATATCCTCTGCATTTTTTTTATAGTTTTAAATTTTATATAGAATTATTTAGCCTATGAATATTCATATGAAATGGATTTTTCAAGTTTTTTTTTTTTTTTCTGAATGAACTGTTCAGAGAACTATAGTCATTTTATAAATACAGTAAAATCTTCATTAATGAATACTTTTTGCCTGGTTCCGTTAGTGTTCATTTTAGAAAGGTTTCACTGTATATGTTATTCTATTAATCGAAACATTCTTTATTTCAAAGAGAACATTAATAAGCTTATTTTTAGAGAATAAGTTCATAAATAACAAAGAAAAAGCAGAATTTTTCATTATAGTTTAAAAAATAAATGTTTCTATTGAAATTTAATTCGATATGAACCATGTTTTTTTTTCGATATTTGGTAAAATTTGAATAGTTTTTATGGTATATAACGAGTATCCCATACTGAATGAGCAGTTTTTGTGTACTCAAAAAGTTCATAGACTCTAGAATCGGTCAATATGTCCGGCCGTCCGTCCGTCCGTTTACACGATAACTTTTGAAAGGAGAGTCCGATCGCGATGAAATTTTCTACACAGTTTAGTCTTAACAATATCTCGGTCGAGAGAAGAAGATGAGAATGATTGGCCGAGCCATTCCTGAGTTATTGCAAAAATAGTGGTTTTTCCCTATACCTTCCTATGGGAAGATCGACCCACCCCGGCTTTCGTAAAATACTTTTCCTATCATAGTCAAACAAAACCCAACTATTATATACCATTCAATAGAGAATTTCACGAGCTACAAAATGATATATAAAACATAAAGAAACAAGAAGGCTAACTCACCTATTACAAAGATAATTAAACGGCAATAGGTTCTGTTTTTGTCCACGATCTAATTGATCCACAATTAGAGCTCTATCTTCCGATCACAGTGATGATGCTTCAAGGTTTTCTGGGGCGGAGAACTCGAATCTGTACTCCACTTGCCTCGAAATCTCATTGGTTGAGCAGTGACCAATAGAAATCAAGTTATAGGAAAAACGACTTTCTGAGGATAAATCGCCCAGGTCGAGACGAACGGTTAAAGAACGCGTTCCGAACGGAAGAACATATGGAAACGCGTTCGGCACGCGTTCGGCACGCGTGCGGAACGCGTTCGATAGCGTTCACCCGTTGCGAACGCACCGAACGTCATACCGAACGCATTCGGAACGCACGAATAACGCGTTCTGAACTACTTATTCCGAACGCGTTCTCTAGCCGTTCGTCTCGACCTTGATCAAGGCGAAGAGTTCAAATCTGAGCTGTATTCGCCCCAAATCCTATTGATTGGACAATAGCCAATAGAAATCAACAGTTTATAGGAAAGGTTCCCCAGTATAATTTTGATGTCCACACCAGAGATGGGATCGGTTCGGTTTTTAACCGATCCGAGCCGACCGACCGTAACCGAAATCGGTTCGGTTGGAAAGTTTTAAGAATTCGGTCGGTTATGTTCGGTTCGGTTAACGATTTTTTCGGTTACGATCGGTTCGGTTGGGAACTTTTCAAAATTCGGTCGGTTACATTCGGTCCGGTTGGACAGAACCGAAATCATTTTTTTAATTTGATTTCAGCGGATTTTCCGGTGAGATATAACCAAGAAAAAAAAGAGCACGACTGCACTACAGTTAACTCGACTGACTGCACTTCGTGCAGTGAGTAGCCGACTTATTGGTTTCGACTCACTCAGTTGCCATAGTAAATCCTTCTTCTTCTCAACACATGAGTCACGATTCTAGTCAGTCCCGCATTCTTAGCGCCTGAGCATAATTTAGAATCGGAAAAAGTTTGACGAGATCGTGAGAACGTCATAAGTGCACATCTAAAATCCGTTTCTCGAGATTCGGTGTAGTCCGGGAGATATTAAAGAAATCGAAAATGATAATTAACAACTGATAGTTTCCTTATATGGCTATGGATGATTCAATCTTACATGGCAATTCAGATCTAAAATGTTAAATGCATATATTTTTTCATTAATTATCGCCTTGTCAAATTTAAAATAGTACATCATGAAGTCTGCAACGCATAGATACGTTTTTCCTAAGAGCGGTCAAACAATCGAAAGAAATATGCAGAAAAATGATAATTAACAGCTGATGATAGTCATTTATATTCAAATGTGATTCAATAGCAGAAAGTCAGCAAATTTAGGTGTGATTCATATAAAATCCCTTGAGCTTTCATATCTATTATCATTGGTGGTAGCTCATCGTGTCTGCAGTCAGCCGATTTTTCAACTGGAGCTTGTCCCGGGTGGAATTCTAGCATTCAATTTGCTGTTCGTATTCAATTTGATATTGATGGTATTCAAGTGTTGTTAGTAATATTCAATTTGTTTTTGCTAATATTCAGTTTGTTGAGTAAGTGTTTTTTTTTAACTGAACACTAGAAAAAAGTTCGGTCGGTTACTTTCGGCTCGGTTGAAAACTTTTTACAATTCGGTCGGTTACGTTCGGTTCGGTTAGCGATTTTTTCGGTTACGATCGGTTCGGTTGGAAATTTCTTAAAATTCGGTCGGTTACGTTCGGTTCGGTTAGCAATTTTTTCGGTTACGATCGGTTCGGTTAGGAAAAAATGCCAACCGATCCCACCTCTGGTCCACACATTCTAGGATGACTCATCTTTGTAATTCACTTTTCTTCAGTACACATAACTCTCGGATTTAAAGCCGAAGTTTCCGCATTTATTTGTATTTCTTGTTTTTATCATCTAGTACGTTTATTTTAAAAACAAAATATAGCATAAGATGCAGCATGAAAAGCTCTACAATTTCCATAAGATCGCTTATTTTATAACTGTACTTTTTGTTTTCAAATTGGCCAAAACTTTGACGGATCAAATTTGGATCGTGCGAAAATTAGTCGCACAGAATTTTGCTTTTTTTGAAAACAATTACAATAAGCTTTACTGTGTAAATTGTAGAGCTTTTCACGCTGCATCTTGTAGCATACTTGGTATTTATGATAACGTATTATGTGACAAAAAAGATGAAATAAGAAAAAATGAAGTCATCTTCTACCAAAAAATATTGTTTTCGCACGGTCGAAATTTGATCGCGTAAAATTTTATCATTTTTTAAAATAAAAAATTCAGCTATGAAATAAGCAGTCTTATGTAAATTATAGAGCTTTTCACGCTGCATCTTGTATTATATTTTGTTTTTAAAATAAACGTATTAGGTGATAAAAATAAGAACTACAAAAACTGCTCATTCATTATGGGATATCCATTATATTTATTACACTTCAATGTATCATTTAAATAGAAAATTTTAGAAAAATGAGTTTCTAATTTTGAATATGTCGATTAGAATATGATTACTTTATATTTTTTGACAAATATTTTTATAATTGTTATGAAAAAAAAAAAATATTAAAATTTCTTTTTTAGGCTATAATCATTTGGCAATTGATCAGAACGAAATACGTGCAAAAATACTTGCTTATCTTATTTCAATGACTGTACAACTCAAGTATCTTCTTGTCGAACGATTTGAATGGCTTTTACATATTGTTCAATACGTAAGATTTGAAAGGATGGTAAATTTAAAAGTGTTACCAGTTTTCAGCAAATTTCTGATTTCTAATGATGAAATCTATGAAAACGATCAGAAAAGCATAAATCAGAAATCTACTTTTGCCTATAATTTCTAATGACTAGCAGAAAAAGCAGAAATCTAATTTCGTGCATAATTCTCAATCATTATCATAAAAGTAGAAACCAGATATTGACTCATGTTACACATTTCTGAGACACTATGTGAAAACTAGAACAGCGTCTCTGTCCTAAGCCTCGCGTTGTCCTCAATATGCACTAATTCAGCGTTGCAGCCCTCACCCTTAGAGAGTAATGCGCCATGTCCGTGTTTTCGCCCTCATCCTCAACGAAAGAGATGTCCTGCCTCAGTGTTTTCGCCCTCACGCCTCTCTATATATTGGAATTTTTAATATCTCACATCTCTTTTACGTAAACTTAATTGAATTTCCGAAGAAGTCCATAAAAGACATCATATGTTTGAATAATGATAGTAGTAGATTTCTGATTAATTTTTAAGGAGGATGATAGTAGATTTTCCATCTCTGATTTTTGTTTAATTTGAACGAGTTAGGCAGTAGATTTCTGATTTCTGATTAATTTTATAAGGATAGGAGTAAATTTCTGATTTTTGATTGCTAGGCATTTTTGGAATGATGAGATTAGAAATAAAGTTTAATGATAATTATATTAATTCAAATTTCTATGTGCTGTCACAATTTGTAGAAATTCTGAAAATTTTTGAAAATTTTGGAAACCTTAAAAAATTCAAAATTTTGATACGCAAGTTTCAAAATTTGTACTAATTTGATATTTGCCACTTTATGTAAGATTTTATTTTTAATCCTGATCTTGTTTGAAATTCTCTAATATATATATATATATATATATCGTCTCTACATATTTTATTTGAAAATCCATCTACAAATCAAACAATTTGACAGTCGAATCTTGTAAAATCAGTTTAAATCGTAAAACAATTTGTTAGAGTAAAACTTTTATTAGTGAAAATATCATGGGTGAATACTTTCAATTTAGAGCAAAGTTTTAGTCCCACGGAGCAATTTTTGCTGTAAATGCATCTCTCCTAGATGAACACCTCTGTGTTCTGAACTTGAACACTGTTTTTGTAGCTCCAATTGCTTTTATAACCTCTCTTAGATAAACATATGTGGACTTCTATCTCTCTTTTTTTTCACATTGTTGTTCATAACTAATGCACTAAAAATCACTGTGCTTTGCTTTTTTTACAATTGTACTCAAGAGTGAATCAATTATACATCGACATCAGCTCAAATTTCAAGTCAAAACTCAATTAATAAACGTATTAGAGTCAAAACTATTTGATGTTTCTAATGAGTCAAAAACAGCAAGACAAAGAGCCGATTAGCAGTTTTTAAGATAGAGCGAAGTTTTTTGTTTTGTCGAGAAAGTTTTTCAATTCAGATAAATTTCAATGAAAGAAGATAAAGTAGAAGAAAATGATCTTAAAATGCTTCAAAACCAGTAAAGAAGGTCATTTTTTGAAAATTTACTTCATCCCAGTGAAAAATATTCATGCAATAATCACGCTTATTTTTGATTATAGACAAACAAGCTCAATTTTTTGCTAGAAAATCACTTTTTTTTTCAAAAGTAATTCGACTAAAATTGATTTTAATTGAATAATCACTCGAGACCATAATCCTTTTTTTTTTTTTTGAAGATTATAATCGACTGTCCGATTTTTAATCAGATTTATATTTATAATCGATTATAATTTCAATCTCATCAAATCTGATTAAAGATTTTCAATTAATGATAATTAATTATTTGTGATTAAATCAGATTTATGTATATAATCAATTATAATTTTCAAAATCGATTAAAATCTCAAATTTCATCAATCTGATTGAGGAATTTTAATCCCGATGACCATAAAACGTGTTTTGTGAAACACAATCTAAAAGAAGTGTTGAAGCGTATTGGGAGTAGAAATTTGCACCCCTCCCCCGCAGATCATGATAGACGCCAGCAAAGACCATCACAGACCGTGACAAACGTAACGGTGGAAGGGTCACAGACTGTGACAGACGCAAATCAGACAGACCATCATAGATCGTTACAGACACCGAAGCAACGCCGTCTCTCTCTCTCTCTCTTCCCCCAAATCACAGACCATGACAGACACGTTGGTAAATTTTCTCTCGATTAGGATGGGAATAGCTCGATCGTGTTTCACATTTTAATCCTGCAGAAATTGAGCTAAAAGCTTTTTCTCGAGTTTTAAGTTAGAAACTCAACCTTTTGATGTTTTTTTTTTGATTTCTCAGTTCAACAAATGGTAAGTACAAAGGTAAACCGACTTGGACACATATGCCATGGTTTGAAACAGGATACTCGTTGATACTTATTCATGTAACGAAGAAGATCGATAAATTAGATTAAAATTTATTTTCCATCGAGATTGACTAAAATCTAAATTTTCAGAAATTATAATCAATGATAATCGATTAAAGTTAATTCTAAACGATTGAAAATTTCTGATTATAATCGATTATAATTTTGATTTTGTTGCAGAATAATCGGATTTATGATTTTGATTATGTCCATAGGATTTTGAAATATTAATCGATTTTAATTGATTAAATTTTTCACTGGAATTTTCCATTAAAATGTAGGACATCTACCATAGATGAACACCTCTCACAACTGAGCACTTCAAAAGTCCCGCGGATATGCACTTAAGGTAGGTTTTACTGTATATCTTTCTTTTATATTATAAGGTTCTTATACCTTTTCCAAATTTCACAGTAAGTATATACTTGCTTACCTTCAGATCTTAATAATATGTTCTCTACCAAAGTGGGTACATTATCGAAATAAAATGGTCTAATTGTTAGAAAAAAAAAAATAATCATGTTGTCTCATAGTAGAGAATAAAATAAAATCTATTCACGTTGAATATCCAATAATAATAATAATAATAATAATAATAATATGAATGAACTGCAGATTGTTTAAGAATGAAACTAGTAATCATTTTAATAAAACAATAATTGAATGGAAATTGATTATATTTACGAATAATCTTATTTAGTTATAAGAAAATCAATTCTTTCTCTTATTCACAAGCAAAAAAGATTTGAAAAGATCAATAGAGATATAATAAATAAACAACTTTAATTCAATAAAATCATAACATCAACTGAAGCCTATTTTTCATCAGAATTTCGTAGTAAATACACAGAAAATTAATCAAAAATTATCAGATGTTTTTCATGTGCAATGAAACTACTCAGTTGATTTTTTATTTGTCTTTATTTGTGGTTATATTCTACTTCGTTTCTAATCCAACGATTTTATTTTTATTTTTCTATTTGAAAGAAAAACCTGATTTATAGACCTCTTCCTTCATTTGATTTGCAATTGATGAAGAAATAAAAGTATATTGTTATATCAAAATTGAGTAAACGTATTAAGATAATTGATAGGAAGCACTTCTTTCTATATCACTTATTGTCAAAGATTATTTAACAAGACAAGGGAAAATGCTCCATAATTGTTTCATATATGAATTGCTGTTAAATTTTCTTTTTTTTTTTTGTTTTAATGAATCTATTTTGATTTAATAAATCGATTCTAATAAATGAATTTATCTAATTTATTTCTTTTTTTTTTCTGTTTTCTATTTAGACATCTGACAAACTAATCATCAACACCTTAAATACTGTTCAATATGCTGAATTTTGTCTTTCAAGTTGTCATTACGGTTGTAGTGAACAAGTTCGTATTGGTAAAAATCTTGTGCCGTTTCTCAGCACATATATGCCTCATTTACAAACATTACATCTTTGGCGACCAGGTGATTTTCCATGGACATCTAGTAAGTTTATTTTAAACAAACAAAGTTATTCTCAATTACATTTCTTACTAAGCTAAAATAAATATTATTCTACTTTTTGCTTTCTAAGTTAGAAATTTCATTTTCATCTTTTCCTAATCAAACAAATATTTTTAAAATGATATACATTTGTATATAGGCAGGCCCCGCGAAAGTGGGGGGGGGGGGGTGTACACCCGTCCAATAATTGAAAATTATTTATTATTAGTCACCAAAATAGATAATATTTTTTTGAATCTATAAAGTATCTCACAGAGATATTTTTACAAATATCTTTCAGAGGTGTTCTGAGTGGAAATGGGAGTCAGGGAATGATCTTTCTATAATAATAATCGGCAACTATCGTTGAGATATCGGCGGAAAACATGAAGTTCTATGGCAAATTGAAGAAATCAGTTGGTTTTTTACTCGAAATTCCGGCTTAAACGATGGTTTTCGCTACAAAATTCTGAAATATTAAAATTTTTTGCTTCACGAAGAAGTAGCTGCATGGGCATACTCGCCTTGAAAATAACTCTGATCTTCCTGTTTTTATGGCATACTTTACTGCTTCCTACCTTTCGAACAGCTTTATTTGCGAGCAGTCGTCGCTAGCGTGGCCGCCTTCGGCGGCGAAATTGCTAAGAGTTATAGCAACACTTTTTGCTTTCGTGAACCATAACGAAAAGAAGAGTTTTTCATGAGTCTGACGTGAGAAAAGTTTTCGCTTCACGAAAAATAACAGTTGCGTAACCGCAGTTAACTTAGAAAAACTTCTAAATCCAGTCCATTTTTCCTTCGAAACAGCCTAGTCGAGAACAATCGTCACCAGCGTGGCCGCCTTCGGTGGCAGAAGTATTGAGGAATTTTTTTACATCAGACGCTGGTTGTCTTCTTGAAAATTTGCCAGAGAAAGTCGAATTTTCTAAGAAGGCTGCAAAAATTTTTCGCTCCGCGAAAAATTGTTGCATTTCAGGTTGCGCGAGGAAGATTAATATTAGGTCTGATGCGAAAAAAAAAATTTTGCTTTCTCCAAATCTGACTACCTCAGGAGTCTTACACCCCCCCCCCTCCCCCCAATCCTGGGATCCTTGCGCGGGGCCTGTATATGGGTGAATTGCAAAATTATTGTACCATTGGATTCTTATATGTAAAAATTTAATATCTCGAGTTCCTTTCGTTCAATTTGCGTGATTTTTTCAGAGTAGAATCTTCTAATAAGTCCCCACTATCACACAAAAAATCGCGATTTTATCTCGGATAAATCTTGAGATATTAGAAGTATAGGGGTAAATAGTCCGACTCTGATTGCCACCTATTGGAAGAAAATGTCATATAACCCATTGGTTCTCCTTTCATTTGAACTTCAAGAGCTCTCAGTATTACAGTTAACAGTTTGTATTTATCGAATATAAAACTGATTGATTGTTTCATGACATGTGTTATAATACTTTTTTCTCTATACCATATGTACAGTCAACCCTTGAATTGCTGTCACGCGAGGTTTGAAAACGACTTTGGCATGCAGCAGCAGCATGTCAAAAATTGGTCAGGTTGGCATTGTCCGAGAGTCAATGGGTAGAAGATAAAAGTGGTCAAAGACGATGAGAGAGTTATGCTAGTTTTTGTTAATATATAATATGAAATGAGGATTAAAAATATAGTTGCCACATTAAATGGCACGCAAGATTTTTTTTTCTTTGTTTGACGTATAACTCTCTTAAGCTATGACAGAATGAGCTGAAACTTTGATCATTTTGTCCACGCATTGTGGTCAACTATTGTTGAAAATACCAAGATCAGAAAGTTTGTCTTTCGTAGAAAAGAGACAAAATAGTGCAAAAATGTCACGCGAGATTATTATGGATATAATTACCTCATAACTAAAGCCAAAGTAGATATATGATATATCACTTGACTTCTATATTTAAAGAGCTATTCGCAGTCATGTGAATTAATCCTAGCTTGTGTCTCACAGGTTAATAAATTTACAGAGAAAAGTCACTATTTATATATATGCTCCAATGGACTGTACCTTTGGAAATTTTATCGCTGTGTAAGTGTAAAAACCAAATATAATTTAGGAAAAATCATGGTGTGTTGGTCGCTAATCCTAGATCAAACATGATTCATCAGTACAAAGAAAAGACTCAACATTAAAATCTAAAATACTATCGGAAAATTCAACTAAAGCGTGTACTATCAAAGTTCCTTGGCCTGATATTTTTAAACAGTATTTCAAACAAAAAAAAAACCTGTCGTATCTTGGACAATCTGATAGTGGTAGTCGGAAAAATTTATTTATATTCTCCTCTTATATAGTACTACAGAATGCACTAATCATCGTGCTCAAAATCGAAAATTTGTTTTCATCCATTTTTTTCACGGAACGGTACAATAATTTTGCAATTCACCCATA